TTTTGTACATAATTTAGTAACAAGACAATAATGTGTAAAGTTGTAAAAAGAACATTTTTGAAAATGTGGATTTAAACTAACAGTTTGATTACTGTTAGTATGACATTTCTGTTTATTGTTTTGTGATTTCTGGTCAAACGTCTTAAAAAGAAATAAATGTTTTACTTGCCCTAGGTTTGTAAAAGCGTGGCTTGCTAACGGTTATTACTAGCTATAATTATTTCACAACTCTCAGGCATTTTAATTTTGAGTCATTACAGAAATCAGTGCAACTGTTGTTTGATCAAATGAAAAATGCTCATTAAGTTATTGAGTTGATCAAATAACTTGCAGTGTCACAACTCCATCCAATCAATTTTGTTGAAAATTGACCAATCTGTTTTTCAGTGTTGAAACAATTAAAAATGGGCACAATTTGTTTCAATCTGTAGTTTGCAGCCTGCTTAGGTCAATAAGTTGTTGGAAAATTTATTGCTAACATTTAAGGTTGTTATTTCAATTTTTTGCGTGACCTTGGCTGACGTAGTCTCACTGTAATTAATACTATAGGTGCATTGTGATTCAGCAATCTAGTTGTCCCTGTTTGCTAACAAGTCATTGAGGAAAAGAGAATCTTAGCCTTGCAGGGTTAAGTAATAGTAGATTTATTGTTAATATATGTTAACTTGTTTTTTTGGTGTTGCACTGCTTGTACAATTGAATTGTTTACTGATTGTCTCCAATAAGAAGAAAATCTGATTTAATCTTTAGGGAAAGCTTCTGGTGTTTTAATACTTTGACGAAATTTTCTTTTGTGGAAACAATATTTAATTGATACGTTTTAATAAAGAACTTTGAACAGATGGTGGTGTTTTTAATCATTACTTTTATCATTAGTTATTGTTATTATCATCATCATCATCATATCTATGACAAAATTCTTGATCGTGATTGGTTCTCGCGCCTATTTGTCACGTAATTGGTGCGCTATCACGTGGGTGTCCACTAACAGGTGTCCAATTTCGACTTTGTGGAGACACGGTGGCCTCATGATTAGTGCACTCGACTCCGGATCGAGTGGTCTGGGTTTAAACCCTGGTCGGGGAATTTGTGTTGTTTAGTTTTGCTCTCACAGTGCCTCTCCCCACCCAGGTGTGCAAATGGGTACCGGCAAATTTAATGCTGGGGGTAACCCTGCGATGGACTCGCATCCCATCCAGGGGGGAGTAGAAATTACGGTGGCCTGAAAGGGACATCGACTTTTTTTTTTTTACCCGCAACTTCTTTTTTTTTATCCACCACGACTTTTCTTTTTTCACCCGCGACTTCTTTTTTTTATCCGCGACTTTTTTTTCCTTCGCGACTTTTTTTTTTCATCCGCGACTTCTTTTGTTCACCCGCGACTTTTTTTTCATTCGCGACTCTTTTTATCATCTTTCTTTGCCGCATGTGTTAAGACTGCGGGCTCACATACATTGTAACAGAGCAGGCAGCATATCGCCCAGCAGTACGAAGCCTAAAAAAATGAATTAATGAATAACTGGGTTGTACTATAGAACTAGCCATTGCTGAAAAACGTCTATACAAAACCTCTGATTATATCATACAAGAGAACCAATCCTTCTGAAGTTTTAGTTTCATCAGATACAAGACCCTCTAAGAACTTGACGTTTTAAAACGTTTATGATCGACAGCGTTCCTCATTTTGTTATAGAGGACGTTTGAATTTCCAAGTTTTTGCGTTGCATGACAATAAAACGCGGCCCGAGAGGGCTTTCGCATAGGCCAAAAGAGGATTCATCGCTCAAGTTTTTGCTATTTTAAAAACTGAACAGTTCTTGCAATGGAAAAATCATTACTTTCAATGTGTCGGAACTCTAGAATAATTATTTTTTGTTTCAATGGTAAACTCAATAACAGATGTTTTATGGCGTTCTATCAATTGACGTGTGCCTTCGAGGCGAAGGGCATCAACATGGCGTCTCCATACAAAGCTCTATAAATTTGGGGAAGACACTTTTCCGAATAACGCGCGAATGAATAACCGCACAGACCTAAATTTTGGAGAGGTCGTTCATCTATCATATCCCAGACTTAACTTTATTGAATGGTTACGATTTTTTTTTTTGATTGCGTGACAGTACAGTGTAAACTAAAATCATGGACGAAAGTCTTGGGACAAATTTGCGCTTTTGGCGCTTTTGCGCACACACCAGACGCGAACACAACTTCACCTGCCTAACCTCGTCCCCCAGCCCCCATTCAATGTTGAAAACTAGTACCATTGTGTTGGGTGGAGAGGGGCGACAGCAACGCGTTTTTAAAGGATATAGCAGCGCTTTTTTTCAAACTTCAGTTCTAAAACACAGATAACTCGTTACATTACACAAGTGTCCCAAGGACTTTCGTCCACGATTGTAGTAGTTCACGAGGGGAGTCCGTGTAGTCCTGTCATTATCTTTTGTTCCTACTTCTGGAAATTTCTTTCCTGACAGCGTTAACAACCTCCTGCAAAGGAGAATAATTCTTTCTTCCGAGGCGGGGGGGTGGGGGGGAGGGGGGAAACTCCCATATATGAGCTATATAAGTAAGTGCCGCGGGATAGGGTAGGGTTTTTGAGGTTCTCAATCCTTAAATAGGGTATCATTTTTTTCCCTGTTGGCATTGTGTCCCGATGTGATCCGTAGATAGGGTACCTAAACTGTATCAGCTACAATTGCAGCGCGTAAGTGCCCAGCTAAACGGAAAAACAAATGATTTGTTAGAATTGAACCTTCGGCTAACTTCCAATGTTACAGAAACGAAATAAAGACGACCCCTTCATGCTATTCTTAGTCTTTGATTTTCTCTTCAATGGGGAGTCATTTTTCGGAATAGGGTGTCACTTTCATATCCTTCATCCTTAAATAGGGTCAGGGTTTAAAACCCTTCGCGACAGTCTGGCAAAGCACAATGACAGTACAATGGAAACAAAATAAGCATCAAGATGACCCTGAGAAACATGGATACTGAAATACCGTCTTCAAGTTACCACAGAGCAATCCACTACCAACTATAATAAAATGTCACACACAAAAAAGTCGCGGATAAAAAAAAGTCGCGAAAAAAAAAAAGGCGCGGATAAAAAAACAGAAGTCGCGGATATATAAAAAAAGTCGCGGATAAAACAAGAAGTCGCGGATAAAAAAAAAAAGTCGCGGATAAAAACGAGAAGTCGCGGATAAAAAAAAAGTCGCGGATAAAAAAAAAGTCCATGTCCCTTCCAGGCCACCGTAAGAAATACTCCTAGTCGCTTCATGCTATGGAAACCGGGATAAGCTGCGGCCTGATGGGCCACTTGGTTCGTATGCAGACTTTACCTTTTTTTCACCACATAAATTTAGACTTCTTATAACTGGTTACCTGTAACTGGACGCCTTCGCCATTCGCATGTCAATTACGTGAGCTACAACTTATTGAAAACCCTACCGACTTCCTCACTAAGAGAAGAAGAAGTTCTCAAGAGACTTTATTAATCTCAAAATTTAACTGGATCTTGTGTTGCGCAATTCAGGGAGAAATTGTGCTCGTAATTTCAAATTGGCCTCGCGCTGTGTGCTCGTCAGATTTTGAAATCACGTGACCAATTACCGGTGCCCCTTAAATAATTATTGTACTCCACTTGGTCAATGCCACAGTAACATTTCACTTTTGCAATAAAAAGGGACAACTGGCGCTACCTGAAAAATAACTGCCGTCCTCGGTCATATGACATGACATGAAATATAAAATACCGCGTGGAAACATAGTGTATAACACTAACGATGCTAGAACGCATGCGTCTTACATGTTGAGTTCTACGTACCATAAGAAAAACCACTCAACATTTGTGCGTGATTCCGTATGCAATGTATCCTCCACCTAGTACAGAAGCCACAAACGCTAATAATCTGCGCATGCGTTTAGAGCAAATCGGTTTTGTTCTAAAGAGAATGGTACCACAAGGAGAGCAAAGGGTTACCTGAAAGAAATACATAGCTTTGCGATGTTCCCACTCAACTGACGTAGATGGAACATGCTTTACGTAGAGTACACATGTACCTTTCCCACCGCACCCCCACCACTTCCTTGCCCCTAGACTAGTTAATTAATTGAAATTAACTAATTAAACAAACAGTAAAGTTTACACCTTAGCGCCATAGCACATATCGCATACCAATTTAGTACCTTAGCGGCAGGCAGCCCCCAAAACCGTCCCAATAGTGCACTCTGCACTAAAAATAACCTAATTTGTATAAAAAAATGTGTTACTTTCAATTTAGTAATATATCTAGTACAGCTCTATGTTATCTGTCTTTTTCTGTCAAATTTGCTGTTTCATGCCCTGAATAAATAGGGTGTCTGGAAAACCCGAATACCGAATAGTCCCGAATAGCGAATAGTACGAATAGTGCGAATAGTCTCGATTAGTGTGAATATCCAGTATCTCACAGTCAACCTCGCAGGAACATGGGATGGGATTTTCCTGCTAACAGGCACAGACGCTTATCAGGACAAAAGGTGTTCCTAAACGTAATTTCTTCTGTTTTCAGTGCTGCACGGAGAAAGAAGCACTAAGTACTTTTTGAACTTAGAAAAGAGAAATCATGTTAAAAGACACATCAGAAAATTAGTAATTAGCGGCGCTATAACAACAGACCCATACCAAATACTTTCCGAACAAAAAACCTTTTATTACAACTTGTACAAAACTAAAGCGGTAGACAAGGATTCTATCAAGTCTTTTCTAAGCAATTTAAGTATACCGCAATTATCTGAAGAACAAAAACTATCCTGTGAAGGCCAGATTACCATAGAAGAA